TCTATGATTCTATGATTCTATGATCAATAACAGACATAAAGACATTTTTAAGATATCATGTTTAAATTAAAAGGTCTATAGGCAGTATTAAAAAACAACCCAGAATTGTTATAGTGCTAGCTCAAGATCCTCCCATCAAGGCTTCAGGAATACTGTGTCCGTAGATGAGAAGACTCAGAAATTAGCAAAATTTATGGATGCCTCTGATGAAGACAAAAATTTGAAATATAAAATATTTAAGATTTAATACTTTCAAAGAAGACAGAGTCTATGTTTCTGTGCTGTTATTTTTACCACCTGTGTCAAGGACAAGGAAAAATACTACAGAGAATCAATGCACACTCTATGTTACAAATACGGAGGACCTTTGTTTTATGAAGCCTTCTCATCTCTAGGAGAAAAGCATTAACATAGTAAACTGTATTTTAGCCAGGCTGGTGCATTTGTTTATTGTTTCCAGGTGGGAAAACCTGTATATGTGGATTCTTCCAATAGATATTATCTGAGTATTTCTCAAGTAGTAATTCATAGACCACTGGTGGTCCATAGAGTACTTCCAGGTGGCTTAGAGAGGAATTTTAGTAGCAAAGCACTGCTAGTTTTCAAACAATTGTGTCATAACATAGTCCAATATCTTGGGGTGTTTTTGTTTGGTGTTTTTGGTTTTTTTTGTTATGAAGTGTCTTACAGTTGCAAATATGGATTTTAAAACATGCACAAGATAACTGAACTAGGAAGAAGTAAAATATTACTTCGGTACGGAAAGTCTGAGTAAGGACAAATCTGTTCTCCCTGTCTCACTGATTTTAATCTCATATCCTATTCCTGGGGAGAAGCTGAGAGAGCTGGGACTGTTTAGCCTCAAGCAGGCTCAAGGGGATCTTATCTATGTGTATTAATATCAGATGGGAGGGTGTAAAGAAGATGGAGCTGCTTCTCGGTGGTGCCCAGTGGCAGGACCAGAGGCAATGAGCAGAAACTGAAACACAGGAGATTCTTTCTGAACATCAGGAAACACTTTTTCACTGTGAGGATGACCGAGCACTGGCACAGGTTGCCTAGAGAGGTTCTGGAGACTCCGTCTTTGGAGATACTCAACCCAAGTGTACATGGCTCTGAGCAACGTGGTCTAGGTGACCCTCCTTTGAGCCACGAGGGTTGGACTAGCCAATCTCCAGAGGTCCCTCCCAATCTCAACTATTCTGTGATATGTACACTTGGTATATATGGAAACACTACTATGCAAATAGTTGACTTCACTGATGATAGGGGTGAGTTCAGCAATTTTAGACTAGTCTTGTTCACAAGGTAAGAATGCCCACAATAAGCAAGATGTTATTTAATAATTCCTCTGCCTCAATAATTTAGACTCTTCTGGCAGCAAAAGAGTGCTAATTTAGCTCTCCTACAGTATTTTTATCAGTAGGTACAAAAGAAGTGTGATTTTCCTTATCTTTACTTGTGGGTTAATTGAGGCACAACAGGTGACATGAAAATGGAATTGACTGATCTCTGGAGAGCCTACAGAGAATAATAAGAAAAGTAAATAATGCCAAATCTAAAATAGACATATTGATCAAAGTAACTCCATGTGTTTACTTCTGTCTTCTCTTCCTGTAATTTAATAGCCTTGTGCTGCTTTGTCTAGAATGAACAACTTTTTTTTGTGCTGTAATGTTAAGCTGGACTGCTTCTATATTACGTACTTTTTGTACAAGGTTACGAAAATATTTACCTACTTGGCAATGCATATATGAACACGTATCTTCACGGCAATTTTAAGATTGCTTTTTGATTTTGTTACCACAGGGTAATATATGGAATTACACATTGCAGGCTACAATTTTTTTTTTTAAGACTTACCAAAAACTATGCTTCTGAAAAGCACCTGAGTTAAGATCTTTGCTTAAAATTGGCTTCTTGGTGCAATTGTTCAGTTTTTGTCCCATCATTCGCCTAATTAAAGCATCATCTGTGTTTGGAAACAACTGTTTTGTGATTCCTGCAAAATAAAGAGATGATATATATGAGGCCTCCAAATCAGGGAAACCACAGATGTATGATCTAAGATGCATTTATTGCATCTTTGAAATTTCCAGCTACTTCAGCTTCAGCCCTAGTTTGCTGTCTTCACTTACTACTTCATAGATATTACACGTGCCAGCTCTTGCTTTTCTCTGTGCCTTCTATATTGCTGTGCCTGCTCTTGGCAAACTCAGAGGGAACTCCAGGGCCACAAAGGCTTCCTGTAGTGATTTATGTTTGCTCATCCTCTCTTCCTTTGCTCTGTTCTTGATCAAAGAGCCCTATTCCTATCCTTGTCAGTCCTCATATGCCTCTGAATCTTAGAGTTTTTGTTCATCAATTTTCATTTGCAGGTGATGTCTCCTTCCCCAAACATTTCCCTTTTGTTTTGCCTGGCTAACTTTTTTTGAATGCAAAAAAGCTAACAGGACTCAACATCAGGAATGCATCTCCTGCTCTCCTCTTCTCCATCATCTTCCCTTCCTTTAATTTTTTTCCCCTTTCATTTCATTTTGAAGTCTTACAGTTTCCATCTTCTTTAAATAATCTGATCTACTAACTCATTTTCTACAGTACTAGAACTCCCAAGGCTTCCTCCTTATTTTTCTTCTTCTCTTGTATAATGTATAATGTAAATGTCAACATTTCAACAATAGAAATACATTTCTATTTGAATTCAGGATTGTTCTCATTTCCCTTAACAAGCTTCTTTGACTTCTCTATAGGCTCCTCTTTGTCACTGAATTCTCTGCAGCATGCTGTATTCAATGTTCTGATTATCTTCTCTGCTTCCCTTTTCAGTTTTGCCTAGACCCTTCCCCAGAATCCATCTTTAGAAAAGTCACTAGTAGCTCTTAGAATCATAGAATCATTTAGGTTGGAAAAGACCCTTAAGCATATCGAGTCCAACTCTTCTTCTCATCCCATGAAATCTTTCTAATTTTTCTCATACATCATGCTGAAATAGTCTCATCTTACCGCCTCTAAATATATTTTCACCATCTTACATACTTTCCTTTTCTCTCTCTTGACTTCGGGCCTTTTTCTCTAGCTGGATTCTTAAGGAAAAGATGTTTCTGCAACTTTGAAACTGCTGGCCAACTTCAACAAAACTGGACCAAGGTACAGGAACTGGAACTAAGCTGGGAAGGGAACCAAGAGAACTGGGGAAGTCCAAGGGAATGGCAATGGGCAAGGAATTCTAGTACAGGAATTTAGGCTATGTTATTCAAGTATTAAGCTATAGGTATGAAACCAATAAAAATCAGGCTTCATGTGCTCACAACATACTGTTTTCTTTAAAGCTGCTACTTCATCTGAAATGATTCTCTTTCCTATGCACCAAACATTTTTTGCCTTAAACCTCAGCATAAAACAAATTTTGTTTGCTTCTCTGATCATTATTCCTGTCTTCTACACTTATTGTCTCATTTTGCCTCCAGCACTATTTAAAATGTCAGAATTCATAACATTCACTAACTTCAGAATATAGCAGACATTATTTTAAATTTGATCCGAGTGTGTTCTCTCTTTGCCTTCCCTTATCTATTAATTGTCATGCACCAAGTTTGACTGTTGTAGATTAACCTTTCAGAGGCTAAAAAAATGGATAATATCACTGTGCTGAGTAGCCACTTAAGTAAAAACCACAAAAGTCACACAATAGAAATACTACTACTTAGCATTTCACTGACAGTATATGTAACAGATGGGTTAAAAAAGTATGTAGCTGAAGGAGGATATATGAAGCAGCACATCACCAGAGTAGACCAGCTGTTAAGCATTACAGCCCCTCCCTCAGAGAAAGCCCTCTGTCAAGTGAGTGCCACATTGAGTAATGTTAAGAAGTCATCACCTATGATTTCCTGAACTTCATTCTGATTCATAGCTGGTTTTGCTGCTTTATCCTTTGAAGAGGAGGACTTTGCACCTGTCAGGCTGTGTGTAGCCATGTATTCATGTGTATAAAGTGCTTGCATCAAGTCGTTTATAAACTTTTGAGGTTTGCTCTTGTTACAAAGTGCAATCTGCCACTTTTCGATCTTGAACTGGAAAACAAAATTGGTCATAGGCATAACTATTGCAGTTCTCTAGAAATATTGTATAGTATTACCTCTGAAATATTTTTTTAATTTTCTTTTTTTAAACCACAATTTCAAAAGTAACCTCTGCAAACTGTGTGCCCGAGATCAACGCTAAACTTGCATACCACTCAATGTTTGCAACTGTACACGCAGGTTGATTTTTTTTCAGAAGCGAATGTGGCGCAGACTAAGGACCCCATTCATCCTAGCAAACACTTCACCAAGCGATCCTTATTACTCACCAGTGGAGACAGGACATGTTCAGACATATCTAAATCCTTCTGCTTGCACTCCATGCAGGCTGGCTGTGGTCCAGTTCTGGCGTGGATTCTGTACAGCCTCGGGAGCATGGCACTATGCCCAAGCTAATATTCCTGCCTCCGAGCAGACATGCCCTAAGAACTGTGACATCTGGTCCTGGGCTTTGAGAGTGACTTCTACACACAGCAGTAGTACAGCCTATGTATTTTAACTCTCCTAATGGGCAATTTTGAGCTACCTCTATTAAGAAAGCCTACATTGCTTAGAAAATTAGGTCTTTCTATTTCTTTGGAGATGTTAGGTCAAATTTTGTGTATTCCAATATTCAGTTAAAACATCATCCTTGATAATTCTTCATAGATTTCTTTGGTTTTTAGGACCCCATGACAACAAGAATTATTTCCACCGACTGGCATGACTCAGTGCATAAGAATGTTTATGTAAAATTGTGAATGCAGAAGCTAGAATTATTCTTTTGGTTGGGTCTTCATATTTTTCACGTATAGCCTCTGTGCCTGAGATTTCTCAGTTATGCTCTAATTACAGAAAATAGGGGAACATCTTTACTCAGTATCTATATATGTATTTCTACTTAACTGCTGGCCAGTGTCTGGAACAAGAGCAGAAACATGCCATTCTCTGTTTACTTACTAACAGTTCAAACAGACTACTGGTATTTTTCTTAGATTATCTCTGAAACACTACCATTCCCCTTTGGCATCCAAAGCATTAGGCTGGAAGTTATCCCCAGATCTCATTATTTTCTTCATGCATCCGCATTCTGCCCTTAGTCACAGATGTGCAAAGCAACCGAAATCAAAGCGAGCTTGAGAGTGTACCAGCACACTGAATTAAGTCTCGTATTTATCATGGAAAGAGCCTTCTGCACAAATGGAGCTCATTAGTCACGTCATCAACTGAATGATGATAAAATTATTTATACTGATGCTTATTTTTTATATTTGTTATACTATAACAGTAAAGTTTGTACTGTATAAAGTTTTAATTTTTATGCCTGGAATTGCCTTTTAACTGACCTGTTTTTCAGTCTGTTGCTCCTCATCTTCCACATTCAGAGTTATTGGTGAGCTGGAGTTACTATGCATAGCTGCATATGAATCTGCTAACGGATTGTTAGATGTTTTCCAAACAGCATGTGAATGCAGACTGGACGTAGATGATGTCACTCCCCCTTTGAGCAGTGCTTCAGCCATCCCTACCAGTTCCTCAAAATGGGTGACTGCCTGTGGCAACACTGAAATCAAATGGAAAGTGATGGGTAAACTTAACTGAAGCTTTCAGACTCTAATTATGTAAGGATGTATACTTTTGTAATTAGATTCCCATCGTACTGCAAAAGAGTCAAAGTAGTCAGCAAAAATGCTTTAACATACTTTTTTCCTATTCGCTCAAAGCTTTTCCTGCCATTCTGCTGTCCCCACCCATGAAGATCTGGCCTCTGTTTTTAGAATAGGATAGATCAGTCCTCTGCAAGGCTAAGAGGAACCATTAGTTTACGCCCATCATGGTACTAAGCTGCCTATTTCTCTTTTTTCTTTTTGCGATCTCAAAATCTCTACAAGTTTGTAAAGCTATTGAGTATGGGCTTTTTTAATCTATAGAGAATATCTTTTAAGTGGCCCTTTCTCCAAGTAGTATTTATTTTCAAATATAAACCTTATTGAGTCCATTAGGAAGGCTCAATTCAGCAGAGCAAAAAGGATGCAAGGGCTGAAGAATCAGCAAGATACAGAATCACTGAATTATTAGAAAATACTGTCGAAGACTAACACAAGTGCTTAAGATGTAAGGCAAATGGACCTAAATGTGTAAGAGAAGTTGTCGGACACTAACTAAATGTTTAAAAATAATATTCAGAAAAGTGAAGATGAATGATCCAAACCAAGATGAGTAACATACGGAACAGAATCAGGTGGGCAATGAAGCTGCTAAGCACTTGAAAAATCATATGACAATAAAACCAGAGATACTAGGCTGTCTAGTGATGGTATGACATAGCTGGCAGGAAGTAGCAAATCCTTTTTAAACCTTATTCATTCACTAATGTTTTGAAATTTTGGATTCAGTCTTGGCTGCTCCAGAGTAAGGGTCAGGGACAAGTAAGAGGGGCTTCAGAGATGATCACTAAGTGATGAAGGATTCGTTTATAAAAGAACAAAATGGTTCACCTCTGGGAAAGGACTAAATTTGTTGTACCTGGAACTAACTCAGATTATCAATAATGAGGAATTACTAAATTAATTAGAAATGAAATAACTCCAGAATAAAGAAAATTTCAGTAGATCAAGAATAACTGTTAATAAATAGGATTAGTTGATTAGTTGGACTGGTCAGTGGAGTGTTTAAGCTTAGCCGATGGTTATACACAGTTCTCTTGGGAACAGAAAAGTTCTCTTGGGAACGACTGACAGGATTTAGACAGATTTTTCCATTGCTAACTCTATGATTGCATGGCCTCTGTGTAAGACAGTTTTTTCTAAGTGCTGCTGGAATTAAATGTTGCCATGTATCAAAGAATTTGATGTTTAATGGTAGGCCTTGATCGTGTCAGGTGCTTGAGCATCCATAATTGCCATCCAAATGGCTTCTTATAAATCAAGCTTTTCATGACCTTCAGGCTTTCCTCTTCATCAAAATACTTCCCCTGACTTTACCTTGAAGCATCACCAGGGACTGCCTTAGGCGGCAGTTTTCTCTCATGGTGTCTGTCAGCTTCCTCTTGAGACTTTTTATTTTGGCACACAGTTCTACCTTGGATAGTTGAAATAAAGGCTCTTCATCATCACTGCTGCTTTCACTGTACAGAAAGTTGCTTCCTGAATATGTTTCTCTCTGGAAAAAAAAAACCAACCAAAACGTGCTATCTAGAGCAACAACAACATAAAATTAAAGCATTAAAATAAACATTAAAATATCTGGCTAAATCAGAATATTCTGTTTGTATACAGAATGTATAAACAGACTCGGTGCATTTTAATAATAGCTGTTACTGAACACAGATATTACCATTCCTATTAAAATTCAGAATAAAATGTCAGGGTAATACATAACCATTAGGTACTTCTCTCTCTATTCTCCATTCACCAGTTTTCTAAGGTAGTGTCTTTTAGAACCGTTAACTTCACTAAAACAAAAGTCTTACGCCCCCCTAAACAAATACATTTCAGTTTGCTTTTGCTTAATACATTGAAATTGCTGAAGATGAGATGTTTACCTGTTTGTTAATTAAAGATGTTTCAAGTTTACTCAGGATGTTGGCAGGAGCAGATGCCTGTAATGATTTCTTTCTTTTTATATGCTTCATCATCTTCCCCTGTAAACAAGAGCATAACAGTGCCTTTGCATTCCTATAGAGCCTTTCATTACAGTATCTCATGGTATACCATAAACTCTTATTCACTGTGCACTTGACATTCTTGGTTAGTATTTTTGAAAAATAAGTTTATAACTTTTTGTTAAGATTTATGTTTTCTTTCCCCACACTTTGTCACTGCAGATCTCAGCACAATGCAAAGCTCAGAAAATCTGGTCCCTTCCCTTCCTTATGCAGTGATCAGGTTTCTGACTTACAGGAGAAAATGTAATAGAGCTACAGAGCATCCAAGTCCTGAATAACATTTCTCTCTTTAAATAGCAAAGGGCAAAATCTATTGGCCTAACTAATTATTCTGACAGGTTATTGTGCTGAAGTACCATGTGAAGATTGTCTGTATTCCTACTTTACTATACATATTTTGTGTATTATATTGTGAAGAATCAAGAGTTATGGTCTATATCATTCCATTATGGGCCTACCAATATCAGGCACATAAAGACAGAAATTCACCTGTTCTTTATCCAGGTCACTGTCTTCACTCTCTGAGAATATCATTTCTATCCTCTTCCTCTTGCCTTTTCCAAGGACTTGTATTTTTGTAATTTCATTCGCTCGTAATATCTTTTGCATCATTTCCACCAGCTCTTGGGGGTCATCTGAAGTGATGGAAAAAAAAGGCCAAAGCACAGAAAATCAGGTAGCAATACCTTACAAATAGATTAAAATTTCATATCAGACGTGCTCTGGAACTGCACTCACCACTCATGTACACAACTTTCACCAGGTGTTTTTCTGTCTTTCTTTCTCCCACAGGCCAGTTTACCAGCACATGCTCATTTGGTTTCAGAAGTCTTTCTTGTTCATTGTCATCACTGGGAAGGTCTTGTATCCATGAAGTCTTTCCAATTTGCAGTGAATTATCATTTACAAAATCAAACAGTGTAAATTTTTTCATTGTTAAGTGGTTTTCTTGTCACACACACACTGCCTGCAGGACGTCATAGGGAAAATAGCTGTTACCATGTCATGCCACAGGAACGTTACGAGAATACTTTAAAAAGCTGCAACAACCCTCCTGTTCCTGGATTTTGGTAATTAGCTTGTATGAAAATATCCTGGATAAGGAAGTGAAAACTAGCCAAGCAGTGTGTTATATCTCCCTTGAAAGATGGGAGATGGTCTGCTCCATAAATGTACATCAGACAGTTGCCTCCAAAACTACGCACAGAAAACAGCTTTCACTCAGAAGAGTCCTTGCTTCCATATTACTACCATGCCTAATCTATCTCCTACCCAGGATCTCTATTGCTACTACATTTGCCCCAACAAAAGTTTTCAGTCCAGCCTCTGACTAAAAAATACAGGTTTGATAACTTTCCCTAGAACGAGGGAAGGTACTAGCTTTACATGCTAGTAAAAGGGATGTATGACTTCCAGCGGGCAGCAAGATGTACAATTGCAGCCATGAAAAACCAACCCAGAACAACCCAGGACAACTGACTGGATGAGGTACGACACATTCTGGCAGTGGAAAACTTGACGTTCAAAAGAAATGACAGGCTGAGGACTGGAAGAGAGATGGGCTGCTTCATGATGAATAACAGCAACAAGGAGAACCCAGACTCAAATATACAGCTAAATTCTTTGCTTGCATAAAACAGTATTTTTAAAGCACAGGACCATTTCTGGGCTTTTTAAAGCACTGAAGTTCCACACTGGGAGAAGGGAACAAGTCATATTTTGTGCTTTATTTTTCTAATTAAGCTGATACGACTTACATGAATGTGTGAAATGTAACATAAAATTATTAAACTCTACTGGAAATGTAACCGGTTCATTTAAGTGCTTCCATAATACTTGGAGAAGATATTTTCTACTTTAAAATTATTAAATCAGATAAAACAATAAAGAGAAAATCTGATTTTGTCAAACCTTTGTCTCCTTTCCAATAAACATACGATTTGGCCTGTCAGTTCATAGAGGTGAAGTAATTTTACAGAGCTGCAAACTCATGAATTCCCAGATGTGACAGTGTGATTTGCAATTTACTTGGCCTCAATCAGTCAGAAGCAAATCTAGTGCCTCATGCAGAGGCTGTCAAAAAGGTAACTCAGAGCTAGGAAAGGAGAATTACGCGGAGCTATTATGTCAAAGTGAGAAAGTCTGGCTGCAGTGCTCTAAGAAGCAATGTCAATTCATTTGCAGAAGCCCAGCTCACCACTATTCACCATGTCTGTGCTACGCCTCAAAAGAGCTGTTTTTTCACACGGGTGAACTTGTTAATTTGCGAAAGACAGCTGCGCTCTTGTCAACATGTTTACTGATACAATGAGGCAAGCGGCGTAAGAAATCGCCATTAAAAAGTGTATTAAATCATGCTTTTACGCGGAATGTGTTGTGCGTGATAGCAGTAGGTTTGTTAAGTACCACCCTGCTGAAGAAAGGAGACTGTGTTTGCAAGAATTCACATTAATTTTCTTTAAAGCAAGTTAGAAAGATTGGGAAACTTCCATCCCATGTAAATTCTGGAGAGGAAGCTGCCTGAAGGTCCATGCCTAGCATGAGTCACTGGAGGCCTCATTCTGCCACTGATCCATGCCGAGTGGATCCTCACACCTCAGAAAGGAATCATTCAACAAATTAAAACAGCCCATGCATGCAATCACCTTGACCATCAGTCTTTTTCCTTCTTTTTCAAACTGCTTTTGAGTATACACCCCGGTCTTTCTCATCCGGCACAAAGACGTTAACTTCTACCCCTGATCAACCCAGGACAACAATCCCCATCACTCAGTTCTTTGATTCTCAAATGACGTACTTTTGAGCTTTCCCCTCCTTGGCCCTTGGCAGTTGCGAGCTACTTCATTACCCTCCCAAAAGCCCACATAAGGTCAGCAGAATCACAGCAAAGTTTGAACTGCCAGTGTGCTAAGATTAACAGCCGATTGACTGACTTCTACTTTTTTTTAATGTTTCCCTGTAGTCCTCTAACAGTTTGTATGTTGTCTCTCATTTTGTATTGAGACGAATATTCTCTGAGCCATGGGACATGCTTGTGGTCTGTGCTTGTGCAGGGTTAGCAAGCCAGCTGGGATTTCCAGGGATGCACTGAATACACAGGCTGTTCACAGCATGGAGGGTAAGTTTGCAGACGACACCAAGCTGGG